AAATGTAGGACATTTTGGAACTCCCTAGAAACTAGCTGAATGGCTTTGACCAAAATGCTGATAGTGATATGGACAATAAAGTCCAGGCTGAGGTGGTCTCAGAAGGAAAAGAGGAACTTGTTGGGAACCCGGGGCAAAGGTGACTCTAGTTATGTTTTGCCAAAGAGAGTGGTGGTATTGTGCCCCTGCCAAAGAGATTTGTGGAACTTTGAACTTGATAGAGATGATTTACGGTATCTGGTAGAAGAAATTTCTAAGCATCAAAGCATTCAAGAGATGGCTTGGGTTATTTTAAATGCATTCAATTTTATAAGGGAAGTAGAGCATAAAATTTGGGAAAATTTGCAGCCTGACAATGTGATAAAAAAGAAAATCCCATTTACTGAGGAGAAATTGAAGCTGGCTGCAGAATTTGCAAAAGCAATGAGGAGCAGGATGTTAATCCCCAAGACAAAGGGGAAATGTATCCAGGGCATGTCAGAGGTCTTCATGGCAGCCCCTCCCGTCATAGGCCCAGAGGCCTAGGTGGAAAATGTTGTTTCATGGGCTGGGACTAGGGTCCTTTTGTTATGTGTAGCCTAGGGACTTTGTGCCCTGTGTCCCAGCTGCACCAGCCATGACTAAAAGGGGCCACAAGGTACAGCTCAGGCTATTGCTTCAGAGGGTGGAAGCCCCAAGCCTTGGCAGCTTCCACAAGGTGTTGAACCTGCAAGTGCACAGAAGTCAAGAATCAGGGTTTGGGAACCTCTGCCTGGATTTCAGAGAATGTATAGAAAGGCCAGGATACCCAGGCAGAAGTTTGCTGCTGGGGTGGGGCCCTCTGGAGAACATTTTCTAGGTAGCATGTAAGGGAAATGTGGGGGTCAGAGTCCCCATACAAAATCCGTACTAGAGCAACCCCTAGTGGAGCAGTAAGAAGAGGGACATAGTCCTCAAGATCCCAAAATGGTAGATCCACTGACAGTTTGCACTGTGTGCCTGGAAAAGCCTCAGACACTCAACGCCAGCCCATGGAAGCAGTCAAGAGGGAGGCTGAACCCTGCAAAGCCACAGGGGTGAAGCTGCCCAAGACCATGGGAACCCACCCTTTTCATCAGCATGATCTGGATGCAAGACATGGAGTCAAAGGAGATCATTTTGGAATTTTAAGATTTGACTACCCTGCTGGATTTCAGATTGGCATGGGGCCTGTAAGCCCCTTTGTTTTAGCCAATCTTTCCCATTTGAAATTGCTATATTTACCCAATGCCTGTATCCCCATTGTATCTATGAAATTAACTTGCTTTTGATTTTTACAGGCTCATGGGTGGAAGGGACTTGCCTTGTCTTAGATGAGATATTGGACTGTGGACTTTTGATTTAATGCTGAAATTAGTTAAGAGTTTGGGGGACTGCTAGGAAGGTATTACTGGTTTTGAATGTGAAGACATGAGATTTGGGAGGGGCCAGGGGCAAAATGATATGGTTTGGCTGTGTCTCCATCCAAATCTCATCTTGAATTGTAACTCCCACAATTCCCACATATCATGGGAGGAACCCAATGGGAGGTGATTCCATGATGGGGGCAAGTCTTTCCTGTGCTATTCTCAGTGAATCTCACAAGAGCCGATGGTTTTAGAAGTGGGAGCTTCCCCACACAAGCTCTCTTTTTGTGTGCAAGCTATCATCCACATTAAATATGACTTGCTCCTCCTTGCCTTCCACCATGATTTTGAGGCCTCCCCAGCTATGTGGAACTGTAAGTCCATTAAACCTCTTTTTCTTCCTAGTCTCAGGTATATCTTCATCAGTAGCATGCAAATGGACTAATACAGCTGTCACAAGAATTTAGGGGCTTGATTTACACATTTTTCTAATCAGATAGCCATCATACTTCCAATCCGGGCTGAGTCTTTGAGATACTAACAGATGAAGTCAATAAGTTTTTAAAATTCAACAAAGAACTCTAAATCTTCTCATCTAGATAAGCACTGAGTTGAGAGCCTAGCATTTGAGCAGTAGGACATGGAAGGCATAAATTGTGTCTGAAAACTCCTAAGTGCACGTGTTTTAGATCAAATGCCGCTATCACGAAAGCATTTCAGTAGAATCCCTGCAACACATGAAATTTGATATAGACCTGCATTTTTGATAAATTACCTCCAAAGTATACCTCCTCAAGGAGATGAATGATCCACATGGAATTAGGGTACGCTGGTTCTGGACCCTACATGCACCACAATACCATTCTCTATAAATGTTTACTGAATGAATGGGTGAATGAATGAATGATATAACAAATTTATCCTATCAAGATAAGATTAAAGTTTGATGTTTTTCTTGTATATTTTTAATAGAAATGCCAGGTTCTATGCAATAATTCCACACCATTCTCAGATAGCAAAATATCTGGACTTTTTTCTAACTTTGTGTTCTTGGCTGTTTACCCACATGTCTTTTCCACTCCATTATAAACTCTGATAACAATATTCACTTTTGTATCCTCTACCCAATGCCTTGTCCAGTACAAGGCCCATAAGCAGATATTCAAAAAACAAAAAGGGAAGGGGAATACTGAGTGGAATTAGTTGGGAGTTGCTTTTTAAACTTCAAGTTTTTGATGCAGAATGTGTCTGAACGTACAAAGGCAGGCTGGCATAACCTCTACTCCAGAAGCTAAGAGGGAACAGTCATTCCCACTTCTCTCCCACTTCCCTCGTGGCTAAACAGACCCTTCCAGCAAGGGCTTTGATCTGGAGGAAATGACTCAAAGGTACAGGTTGACTTAGAGTCTATTGGAGACATTGGTGGCAAAATTGTGAATTTGCAGCACAGTGGATGGTCTCCAGAGACAGTGGTCACATGGCAGCTTCCTGAGCCCGTTCCCTCAGCAAGAAGCTAGCCTCATCTTGACCATTACTGTCATTCCTGGTGTAGCCTGGCTCTCCAGATTTCTGTCAATTCATGAGCCACTCAAGTCAACTGAAGAGTAAACTTAAAGGCAAGCAAAAATTTCAAAAATATACTAGTTCTCATTTTTTTGAAGAACTTATCATTGTTTGCCCATTTTTCCCATTAATTCAGTCAAATAATGGATATAGTTTTCCAACCACACATATATCTCATATTTTTCTAGCCCTTCTGTGAAATAAAGTAATCTAAAATAAAAAATATCTATGTCTACTTGCATTTTATACATCTAAAGATATCTATATATTGAAGTTTCATTTTTCCAACTATGTTGAGAAAGTGGAGCAAATGGAATACATAATTTTTTTAAAAATCCAGTGTGCACACAATAGCCAAAGATGAGAATAATTCAAATGTCTGAATGGATAAACAAAATGTATATCCCTTTAATGGCATATTATTCAGTCACAAGCAGGAAGGAAGTACTGGTACATGCTACAAGACAGATGACTGAAAATGTGCTAAGTAAAAGAAATCAGATGAAAAGGCCACATGTTGTATATTTCCATTTATACTGAAATATCTAGAATCGGCCAAATAATAGAGGCAGAAAGCAGATCAGTGGTTACCTGGGCCTGTATGTAGGAGGAAATGGAGAGTAGCTGCCTAATGAGTATATAGTTTCCTTTTGGGATAATAAGAGTGTTCTAAAACAAATAGTGGTGATGTTTGTACAACATTGTGAATAAAGTAAATGCCACTAAATTTTATACATTTTAAATGGTTAAATGGTGAATTTTATGTATGTGTATTTTAACACAATAAACACCCCAATATGCAAATATTTAGAGGAAACATAAAGAAGCATATTTCAAAACAGAATCCTTTCTAATGGAACAACTATGTCCAGGGTGGATTGTCGGAAGAACTTTCTGGGGTAGTTGTAAAATCTTTCTGGCTGTAAAATCTTTGCAGTTCCAACCTTATGCCAATAAGATGTTATAGAGAAGAAAAATAAAAATAACCACATCCAAAAGATTTTTCATTTATCTCTGATCACAATCATATCCTATTTCATTTAGACATAATAAGGAAGTTGTGAAAATGAAACATAATTTAATAGATCTTGGAAAATACAATTTTTGCACTCTGGCAAAGTTTAAAGTTCCTTTATTATAGATAAGCATCAGTTACTCGATTTCCTAAAGATGTGGGTCTTTACGTGGGAGAAATGGGTTCAAGATGCTAGGAGCTATATATTAATAATTCTTTAAATTAGGATAACAAAAATGTGCCTTCCCATAATTGACTCGTTATTGTAAAATACTTTCAAGCTTGTTCAGTGAATGCTAGGAAATAGCATTTACTCAATTTTTTATTTATTCTGGAATTTTAGAACTCCTTTGTTTTCAATTTCTCTAATTTCTACATTTCCCCTAAATCTCAAATACATTGATGGTAAAGGAAATACTTACATATTTTAAGACCCTGAAAATTATTCCTTTCCATCCCCAATGGAACTGAAAAAGGAAAATCTCACAAAATTGCAAGTGTCCAACTTTCAAAGTTGGACACAAAGTTGGATAAAATCCATTTCAGTGTATTTGTATCAAAGCCAGAGTGAATCTTTTCATTCTACTAAGAAGCAAATACATTGAACTATTTCTTGATTTACATTTACTGACTTAGAGTAAATAGAAATACCAGCAACTTCAAGTTCAATTTCTCAACTTATTTAAAAATGTGTGTTGCTTAAAAAGAAATTTTCAATAACCTCTTGGGGGGAAATTGCAAGATTTTTCCATCCAGATTCCTTAAAGGAAATGATTGTAATGCTTTTATAAATAATGACAGCATTTCCTTTCAGAGGTACTTAAAACAATTACTTCATTTACTTTTAGAGGCTTCATCAGAGTACATTTCCAACTCACACTCTTCAGGGCAGGTGCCTGTAATTAAACATGGTCCTCTCACCTGATTCATTTCCCGGGCTTTGAAGGACTCTTTGTTCGAGAGCACTAACTCACTATGCATCCATAAGGAATATATTACTGCCAAGTTCCATGAAGCTGTCTGAGAAATTCATTAGTGCTACAAACTACTGACCTTACCCTAAACCCATCTGCTTGCAGGCCAGCTGACTCAATGCCTCCTGCCAGCCATCTGCACACACGTGGTGTTCTGTGGCAGCTCTGTGAACCATCAGAAAGGAAGAGGAGTTCACATTTTTAGAGAGGGTCACTAGGGAAAGAAAAGACAGGGGAAACCCTAATTAAAAACATTTCCTCCGATGAAAGCACATAATTTTACATGTCTCTGCTTCATTGGCATACATTCATTTTTATTTATTTTAGTTAACCATTTGGTGTGTGCCTACCCTATACAAATCACTACCTTCAGTGTGCTAGAGGGCTAAGAAAAATGGATTAGAAATATTCTCTCCCCTCAAAGAAGCTTAGACTCTAATGAAAGAAACAGGCAGTTCTTAACTTTTCTTAGTGAGTTAGAAGACAGCCAGAAGCAGGCCTCATTCCATGAGTTTTACCAGGATTTGCATAATTACAAGAAGCGAGTTGTAAATCCATTTCTATCATTTCCTTCAAGAAAGCATATGAGACTGCAAGTGCGTGAGAGGAATGCAAATTTAGAATTAATCTGGCATATGTGTTAATTCCTATTATATAAAGGAGCATCCTCTGTACTGAATCAGCCTCAGAGCACTTACGAAACATTGCACAATTGATCACAGCACACATGAGAATCATGATTTGGCCGGATAATGCAAAGGACAGAAGAGGAGCTGAGTAAATGAAAGGAATGATGAGTGTAGGATGAGGAAACTAATCAAACTCAAGATCACAAACTGCAACATTGGAGGTGCTGGTAGGAGACATCTTTAATTCCTGTCTGTGTAAGGAACTAGATAGAAGTTCCATTCAGACTTGCAGAGTGTAGGGAAGGCAGAGGGGCCACTTGACTATTCTATTCTAGCAGGTATAGATGACAAATGAATGGCAGAATATTGTTAATTTATTGAAGGTGGGTTTTAATGAAGATTTTTAAAATCCTATTCCAGCAATTATGAGATTACAACAATTTGAACCATATAATATAGATATTTCAAACAGAGAAGTAACTTGTTGGGGAAATTTTCTGTGAGTTGGAAATAACATACGTAGATCACCATCAGCTTTTATAACAGTAAAACAAAATAGATGAAGTTGTTTAGTAAAATCTGAGAAGTAATTTAGGATCATTTAGTTTCAGTGGCTGATAGGCGTGAAAGAGTATAACAAATGGCAGAACAAGTAGCTCACCACAGTCCCATTCATCTGAACTGTCTGAACAGTCGGCTTCGCCGTCACACCATAGGTCACGTGACACACACGCATGGTTAGCACATTCTAGCTCATCATCCTGGCAAAATGCTGGTATGGGGAACAAAAAGTGAGAAGGAAAACATTTTGGAAATAAATGTGACTATCACTAACATGCATATCTTCATGTGCCAGTAGGAGCATGGAAAGAAGAAAATATGTGATCGTTGAGGCCTCCCAATGGGCATGAAAACAGAATAACAGAATTTGTAAAATATTATTTAATAGACATCAATACATACAAAGAGCACTTAAACAGAATTACTACATTAAAGTGGCTCAATGTTCTGATCTAACAATCAGACTGAATAAATAGTACTCACAGCAGCAGATATATGAAAGGTCAGAGAACAGGGTTAAAATCTGCATGAGCAGAGCATGAGGGATGAACAGACTGAAGTCACCTTAGAAAGAAAATAGTCTCTGTCCACAGAGATGCATAGCAGGTTTCTTTTTCATGTCTATTATTAAATGACTCTCTGAGTCAAATACAGTTCGCTTTTGGGTTTTAAAAATTACAGTAAACCTCCTTGATTGCCTACTTAACAACCATTTCCTTTCTTCCTCCTTTTTTCAAGGTAGCTCAATTTTGTTCAGGCCCCGACACCAGCCATTCCCAGCTCCAAAGGAAGATCCTGATTAGTTTAAGCTGGGCATGGCATTTTTCTGTCTACAGTTGCTTTTTTTTTTTTTTTCTGAATATAGTTAGTTGTCCGGCAGTAAACGTGCTCCGAGATCAGGGCCTCGGCCTACAGTTGCGTGGGTTGTGCTTCACAAGACAGCTCCTACCCAAACTCTGCTGCTATGCCATGTACCTAGTCTGGGGCAGGAATAACCTTGAGAAAGCAGCATCTTTTTTTGATTGGTTCTCCCGGCGTGGTGCTTCTTTTTGCAGTTCAGCTGTTTGTAGGAAGTGTCTTTTCTAACTACACAAAGGCTCCTGACAGCTAGCTGTGACTCTGCCCAAAGTTGACCTGAGCGAATCCCGTAATGATATCTTGGAGATGAGGGCACGGTTCTTCCTCCTTCCAGCTGGACATGATCAAGGAAGCATGGTGCCCCAGATGCCCCTGGCAATGCCATCTTTTCAGCATTGTGGGAGCCAGCCTGAGTTGAAACTGAGCTGAAAAACCCACAGACAAGGTGCTGAACTCCCACATGCAGCCTCAAGAGTCCATCCTACACTTGACTCTTTATATGATAATATAAAACATGTGATATGCATATGATAATAAAAGATAAATGTTTTCATTGTTTGTCATTTTGATTTGGGCTTTTATGTTATTTGTAGGTAAAACATCTTAAGAGAGATAATTGCTTTCTGGTTCTAAAAGCAATGGCCATTCATTTAGAAAATGTAGAGAAGACAGAATGGCACAAAACTTTAATAATTCCACCACCCAAAGATTATAACTGTAAACTTTTAATTATGACTTTATGATCTTTTTCTATGTGTGGATATATGTACTTTCAAAACTCAGGACAATAGTGCACATAACACTGAATATTTTGTTTTACTCGACTAATGATATAATAATGAATCCAAGGGAAATTTTTCTTCTCTAATTTGATTTTAATATTTACATTATTTTATTTTATAGTTGTGGTTTATGTTCCCTATTTTTGGATATTTGGGGGTATTTTAATTTTCCCACATTATAAATAATGCCAGTAGAATATTATAGTGTATATATTTTACACATATTTAGTTGTCTTCTTAGAACATGTCTTTAAAAGTGGAGTTTGATCAAAAGATGTGAAAAAACTAAAAGATATTTATGCATATTTGCACATTTTTTTAGCTTGTATTCAAAATAAACTTAACTGGTATTTAAAATAAAAACACTGTATTGACAAATTCACATAAGCACTTACAGCAGTTTTTTTCATCCATGTTATCAGGGCAGTCTGGGAACCCATCGCAGATCACTGTATGCTTCAAACATTGTTTATTGGATGGACATTCCCAAAGATCTCTCTCTTTACAACCTAGAGGCAGAAGAAAAGCTTATTCGTAATAGATGTGGAGTTAAAAATAATGATGAATTTGATAATGTAGAAAAATTACACTATAAAGGCATGATGTCTTTTTCTAAAAAAGTTTTGACCCCTACATACCATGAATAATATAATTTTGAAAGTAGAAATACACAATCACATTCATATTATGATATGAATTGTACAGTTCTCCTAACAGAATATCAAAAGTGACATATGGGGCCAGGTGCAGTGGCTCGAGCCTGTAATCTCAGCACTTTGGAAGGCCGAGGTGGGCAGATCACTTGACCTCAGCAGTTCAAGACCAGGCTAAGATAATGAATCCCATCTCTACTAAAAAAATATAAAAATTAGCCAGGGGTGGTGGTGCATGCCTGTAATCCCAGCTACTTGGGAGGCTAAGTCAGAAGAATCACTTGAACTTGGGAGGCAGAGGTTGCAGTGAGCTGAGATCATACTGCACTCCAGCCTGGCTGACAGAACAAGACTCTGTCTCCAAAAAAAAAAAAAAAAAAAAAGATGTGACATAAAGGACATGGAGAAAAAATTTAAATTTAAAAGCAGGCATACATTAACATTCATCTTTAGCTGTTCCTTTTTCTTTCTGAGTCAAATTGGTGTCAATGCATAAGACTTATCTATAAAATAATGTTATGCTTTTAAGCAAATACGCCAAAGTCTAGTGATCTGTATGCATATCACCTTAAAATGTAATTTCATTCAACAAATCAAAAGGCCATCTGTTTGTTTAGCAAAAGAGGCTCCTTCTATGCCAAATATCTGCAAAACAAGTTTTGTAGATATTTGGCATAGGTTCAAAAGCTATTATCACTTTATGGTAGTCAGAGACCTAAAGTTGGAAACTTCATCAATTAATATGAGATATAAATATAATTTGCACAACGTTAATGTAATAACAAACTATAATTTGCCTATGAAATAGCAAGCACTTGTGATGTCTTTAATAAATGCCTTTAACAATTCATGTGCAGTGCATTTCATACGCCTGCTAAAGTCTGGCAAGGGTCTAATATGTGTTTGTCACTCCGGTCATTGTAACATGTTTTGTTGGTCTGGTCCTGGCCAGGCTGTGAAGTACATGAAGGAAGAGATTACATGGCAAACAACTCTGAGTACCTTCCACCCCCTTGCTGAGAATAAAGGCTAGCATGTGGCAGGCCCTCAATGTGTGTGTGTTTTAAGAACTTCATTTCACAGAAGGAACTAAATGTCTCTCGCTTTCAGGAAAAGATAATTTATTTTAAGGTCAGTGAAACGCAAAGCAGTGATCAAATAAGAAGTTTCTTAAAGAATGTTATTTTTCATCTGACCTACTACAAATAAATCAGATAAATTTTGTAGATGATTGATTCAGGTTTCTTGGAATCCATTATAAGAAAAAAATTGGTTTTCAAAACTTTCATTGAAAACAACTTTTAAAATAAGTGACCTAAAATTTTTACAACAAGCTAAAATTAGATTTAGTGTGTTTCATCATCCAAATATACAGGAAATAAATAGTGAGAGTCTTTCACTGGCTGATAATCTGGAGTGGTCTTAGGCCCAGGGACACCCATTCCAAGAACTCACAGGGACATCATCTAGAGTTTTCAGCTAGGAGAGGATCCAGACAGCATCTGAAAAGTTCTGACAATAAGAGTCTCTTGAGATTTGAGAAAGAGGCTGAAGTCTGCCCTCTGTGAAGACAAATAGTACATACAGTGTGCTCATTCTACCAGAGAGCAAAAGACATCAAGTAAGAGGGCTCAACATTCCATGCACGGTGTCAGCCCTTCTCCAGGGCTGCTTCTCTGTCACAAAACAAACCACTTGCTAATACAGAATGAAAGAAAACAGCATGAGTTTTTCTGACTATTCACAAGGCACATTCTTCCTAAGAGTACAAGGAAGAACTTAAGACATTTGCTATGAGATGATGAAATATCACAGAAACAGATCATCTGGGTCAGAAGGCCCTTTAAAGTGCATCCTCACAAATAATAATAATGATGATAATGAGATAGTGTATTATCCACTATGTATCTACATTCTAGACATTAGCTTTAATTCTTAACACTGTAATGTCAGTGTTACACTCACCATTTTATAAGTGAGGAAACTAACGTTAAGAGAAATTAAATCCTTCCATGTCACAGCTCCACGGAGAAAGATCTGGATGGGATTCAGGTACGAGTCTTTAATTGCGGTCCTTTGCAAAACGCGATCATGCGGCATGCATAAGAGGTAGATGCAGTGGAAGCACAGCTTTAGAGTCAGACAACTGGATCTGAATCCTAGTTCCAAATACACATCTAAAATACGAATCATAATGCCTGCTTCACAGGGTTGCTATAAACATTAAATGAGTACTCCATAAGCATTCAGTTTTTGCCCCTCCATGTCTTCTCTTTTCTTGTAAAAGTCTGCATAGCATAGTACCGCCTTTGTGGAGTTACAGTGAGCACAAAAGAAGTAGTATAAAAACAGAGAGACATTAGTCACACGGGAGACAGTATTATTTTGAAAAGAAACCGCTTTGTTTGTAAAGTGACATTTTGGTGCACTTATGTTTGTATATGCTAAGAGGAAAAAGCTATGATTCCATCAAAAATTAAAAGCAGGCATGGATGGGATGGGCTGTTTAATGCAGCTGTAGGTTATGAAATCAAATAATTGTTGATGTCAGAAGAATAACCTCCCCTGCACAGAACAATAGCAACACCCACTGATTGAGGATATAGTGTTCCAAAAAAGTAACCAATTCATCCCAGCTTGCCTGGCACTTAACTGATTTGAGCACGAAGAGTCCCTTGTTCCAAAAGACCTCCATCAGTCCCAGGCAAATCAGGTTGACTGGTCACAGTAAGTGTGCTAAGCATTCATCTGGGTTTTTTGCTTACTCTGTCTCTCATTTTCACAAAAACTCTACGAAACAGGCTGTCCTGCAAGAGGCAGTCTCCCCACCCTAAAATGGAATATCTTGTTTCTCTACAAAAACAGTTGTTATTATAAATAATGTCAGAAAATTGCTGTAAAGCAGGTGTTTTTTTCTTCTGTAAGAATCTCTTAGCTATGCAGCTATAAAGGAGATCCACTCATCCTTTTGAGTTGAGCTACATGAAATTTTTAAATTCTCACCCTTCGGAGGGGAGCCGTTCACAAGGAGGAATGAGAGAAAGTAATGCTACATTCTTGAGCTGGCAAAGGCTCGAACAGTCTGGATCTAGCCACCCTGGACCAGTGTCTACCCCAGGAAGTGGCTGTGGATGTGACTTAGAGGAGTTCATAGGAGCTGTAGCAGCCAGAGTACAGGCCTAGCAGGTGTGAAGAGCCTTCTACAGCATGCAGGATCCGGGCAACAGAGCCTCTTCCCTCAAAGCATGGCAGCAAAAAGCTCTGCCTCTGCACCTGCCGTAGCAGGTGGAACAGAGGACCTGCCTCCCACTGTGGTCCAGGCCTGACTATCAGGGGAGCAATACCACCACAGGTTTTCCAGCCACCATCCAGCTGGAAAGTCTCAGCAGCCTACCCAATTCCTGAGTCACCTCCCGCTTTTAGCAGTGCCATTTTTATGGCATGCTCTTCAATATATGGTGTCCCATTCCCCTGTGAAACAGACAGGATGAAGAAATGGATGGGACTTTAAACTTCATGGCTCTAATCCTAGAAAAGGAGAACATTCAACCCAAAACCAACACTATCTCCAGGAAAAGACACCACCCATTTACCTGAGTTTACTATGTGAGCCATGGGCCTCGCCCAGGCCCAAGCGTTAGCCTGACAGGCCAGCCCACTCTCACTTGCCATAAAGAGCTGTCAGAAACAAGGCTAAGCTAGACAGGACTCCTTCCCTCAAGGGAGATTGCTGGGGCAGCTTTTGAAAGGAATCACTTCCTGATTTCCTACCACCACAGCAGGTGAGTTCTTGGTTATTGTCTTCTGAGGATGAACAGGGCATGTTATAAGCACTCCAAGCTGTGGGAGATAATGTGAGTATTCTCTGCATCTTACCCAGAGAAGTAAAGTGACTGGCCAAAAGTCACATAGCCTCTAAGGCTAAGTCAGTATGTAAATTCAAGTCTAAGTCTACACAGAACACTCTGCCATTTCAGTCTGCCTTCCCAAGACACCACAGAAGACAATGAAACAGTTAACCAAGTACCTAAAGGGAAGGAGAAAATTTCTCCCTTAACATGGAAAATTAAACCTTACTGAGTGATGAGAAATCAGTCCTGAAAATTCATCCTGAAAGCACATTTGTGGATATGCCAAAGCTGTGGACATAATTACTTTCACTCTTCTGCCAGCTACAGAGCAGAGTGGTCTACTCCCCAAGCAAAGAGAGACAAAAGCATAGAGACTGGTGGTATTTGGAGTGTTAAGAAAGCCAGTTAAGCCCTTATGTGAGATATCTCATAGAAATGCTATCAAAGAATCCAAAAAGAAAACATGCCTTCTGGAAACCCTTTGAAATCAAGCTGTAAAACCCATAAATATCAGAGTCAGATCTTCTAATACAACCTAAGGGGATTCTGACTCTCAGAAATGGGCTCAGGTTATATTTAAAGGTTTTATTTTATTTAACATCAAGAGGAGACCAAAGATAGGTGAAGAAGTGATTTTTAATCATCTTAAGATAAATAGAAAGTCACTTAATGACACTCGGACATTTGTATTGCTGTCAATCTTTTCTCCATATACCCTTTTATTTAGAATAGTGATCAACTAGTAATTTTGATTCTATGTTTCATGTAATAAAGGATTTTATTTTGACAGTTGACATAAGGCACTTGCTGTAGCTATATTTTCATTTAACTGCTCCAATGGGACTTGCTCCTTGCTTACATCACAGCCCAGGTACTACCTACTGTTATAGCTGACCCAAATCATGGAGGTAAAGCCTAGCGAGAGCTAACCTCACTTCCACACTCTATAAAGAGTGATAGAAAATATGTAACACCTTTGTTGAAAAATACAATACCTTTGCTTTCCTTAGCTCTCCTTTCTTTAATGTGATTCTTGATCATTTATTTGCCCATGTCTTTCCCTCATGCTCCACTGCATGGCTATCAATGCTTGGAAAATGTTATGTTGAAAACAAACTCATTTATCCAGCTGCTAGTTTTACAGGCAGCTCCATCTATATCACGTATGTTCAATTACTGACATATCATCAATCCTCAAGACAATGCTGTACTTCTGTACTGACATAGCGCAGACTCTGCTTAGCATTCCCGTCTCTTAGGCTTCCTTCCCATATCAAGTTTGCATAATTCATCCCAAAACTTGTTGAAAACTTTTCTGCTACTGACATTTTCAATTCTTGTTTACATTGGCAATTACACAATCAAAGCAACCACAACAGCGAAAATCTACCACAAGAGCTGGAGACATTAAAGGCGAATATTATTGATTGCTAAATTTCTAATACGCTTATTTTAAAAGTGTATTTATAAGTTAAATGCTTTGGCTACCATATTTTTCTGCTACAAAAGTGTCAAAGAAACAAGAAGTAAAGTTAGTTTCTCACACAGTATTTATTTTATAACAGGGCTAAGTAAGTATTGTTTTGAGGGGAAACTCAATAATCTTGTTAAAAATTCTGAGGGAGCTGCAGATTCATGACAGTGAATAGTTAATTGTTCAACTATTGAGCAAAGCTCAAACACCTAATACCACAATGGATGGAATAAGTCAGAAAGGCAAGAAGCCTGGGGTGAAACTCAGCATCGCTGTAACTGGTGCTTGCATTACCGGGTGGTGTGTCTATGCACATGCAGAAATGGAAAGAAACAGCAAGCAGGCAAATGGAAACAGAAATGGATGGCTTCCCATTGGTCCTCTGTTGAGCCTTCAACAACCTGACTTCTTTATTTGAAGTAGTGTGTCCTCCCACATCACTGAACAAGCTCAAATGCATGCATAAGTCCCAAACGGGAAAGAAGTATGTGAAGTTTTATATTGTGAGACACTTTGGAAAACTTCTCATAAATTAGTAATGCTGGAGCAATTAATTTAACTCCGAATGTATTATTTCTCACTCAAGTTTAACTTTCTTTATCTAGAGCACTCAATACTGCTGTTGATTATTTTGGATTCTTTATAGAGATTAGACAATATAGTCTGTCATTTTGGTGTGCCTTTAATTGTGTGGTTAAAATACTGGTGAAAACCAATTACTTAAATAGAAACCTGATATTTTACGGTTGTTTAGCCCATACCAATACTATAGTACTTTAAGATTCTTTTTTGGATCCATATGAAGTTTAAGGTGATTCTGTGAAGAAGGTCATTGGTAGCTTGATGGGGATAGCATTGAATCTGTAAATTACTTTGGGCAGTATGGCCATTTTCACGATATTGATTCTTCCTAACCATGAACGTGGAATGTTTCTCCATCTGTTTGTGTCCTCTCTTACTTCGTTGAGCAGTGGCTTGTAGTTCTCCCTGAAGAGGTCCTTTACGTTCCTTGTTAGTTGTATTTCTAGATATTTTATTCTCTTTGTGGCAATTGTGAATGGAAGTTTGTTCTTGATTTGGCTCTAGTTAAGTCTGTTATTGGTGTATAGGAATGCATGTGATTTTTGCACATTGTTTATATGGAACCAAAAGAGAGCCTGCATAGCCAAGTCAATTCTAAGCAAAAAGAACAAAGTGGGAGGCATCACACTACTGGACTTCAAACTATACTACAAGGCTACAGTAATCAAAACAGCATGGT